AAGCCAAGCTCTGAACTCTAGGTGTGCTCACTGCTGTTGAAGTGTCACTGCTCCCAAACCCTCTGGGAAGAGCTAGGGAATATCAAGGTGTGTGTGTTTGTGTGTGTGTGGTACGTGCACACATGCATCACATCTCTTTTATTTTTGTATCTATTTATGTAGACCTAGACCATGAATTCCAATCTGACACTGCAGGGTTCGTTCTGTTTTGTTCTGTTTCCCTTTCTGATTGTGTAACTCTTCCCCTACTTAATGGCATTAGAACTGAATTGTTCAGTGAGAGACGGGAAGAGAAACTGCATTGTAATTTGAAGGTTGTTGCCAAATAGCCCTCCACAGAGAATGTACCAATTTACACCCCCACTACATATTTTTAAGCTTTTTCTTTTGCCAATCTGATAGGTGAAAAAATACTACTTCTTATGTTTTAACATGTACAGCTCATCATAAGAGCCTGATTATTTTTGAATGTTTCTAATGAAAAGTAGAAAAACTTGACAAGAAAAGAGTCATTGTTGGATGTAAACACTGTTCATTAATTTCTGCCTGAGGGAAACAATAAAAAAGGGCAAAAACACCTCTGAATGTTGGAATGGCTGGCTGACTGCTGCTGGCAGAAACTTGGTTGCAGGCAGCGGGTGTCCCTTCTGTCATCCATCCCAAAGAACAAGTGAATTGGCCAGCCCTGTACTGGAGACTCGAACGGGTCACGCACTCTCTGGAGATGCCCCCTGCAGGCGGGGGGTGGGAGCTGGCAGGTAGGGACCAGAAAGTCAGCGGTGCTTAGCGCTCTATTCTTGTAGGGAATCGACTCTGGGACAGGAAGTCCTGGACTTGTCCATGGGTGTCCTGAAATTTCCTTCTCTTGATTAGGATAATTAAAGGTCAGTCAACCCAGAGAGGAAAGGGATTTCAACTTTGGACAGATCTCACTCCTGCTCTGATTACGCAAGTATGCATTAGGCTGAAAGAGTATTTCCGACCTTTTCTATTAACCTGCAAAAATGGCAATTTCAGACAATTCATCATTTTATTCGCTGGTGCTTTTGTTCCTATAGGTCTATATAGGCTGAAGTGTCCCTCTTCTTCACCCACCAACCACAGCTCCTTGTTGACTTACTCCCCTTCCTCTAGTATCAAAACACAGTTCAGCTTTCATGATGCAAAGCAAATGGCCCTTCCCCTGGGAATTTTTGCTCATCCCCCAAAGAAATTAACCCCTCCTCCCTCTTGGCTCCCCAGGTACCTTGCTGGTGCTCCATTAGATTCCTCTCTTTACGTTCTGCCTTAAGGGTTGGTTTGTTGTTGGGTTTTTTGTTTGTTTGTTTGTTTTTGTTTTTTGTTTTTTTTAGTTGATGTATGGTCAGTTTACAATGATGTGTCAGTTTCTGGTGGACAGCATGATGTTTCAGTCATAACATATATATACATATGTTCCTTTTCATGTTCTTTGTCATTATAGGGTATTAGAAATTGAATAGATTCCCTGTGCTATACAGTAGGTCCTTGCTGTTAATTTTATATATGGTAGTTAGTAACTATTTAATCTCTTTCTCCTCATTAGTCTGCAAAAAACTGGGTTTTATTCACTGCTTTGCCCCGCCCCCCCACCCCCAACCTAGTACCAGGCTTCATGTTAAGTAAGCCTTAAAGAAAAAAAGTTGTTGAATGAATTAGCAAATGAATGAATGAACAAATGATTAGACCAGGAATGAGAATGGCCATCCCATAGAAAGGCTACAGCACCAAAGTCTCTAGAAGTCTTTGGAGCCGGATATTTAACGGCTTCAAGAGACCACCCCAGAGGCCATAGCAGCCCTCATGCTTTGTGTATTTGGGTGGAGCCGAAGTCCTTCCCTCACACACCCCAAGTCACCTGATGTTCAGCCCCAGTCAGCAGGCTTAACCTGCAAGCAGGCCGTCTGTGCTGGAGTCTGGACCACTTGCTCCCCTGTAAAGTTCTGCCGTGGGGAAGTCCACACTTGCCAAGCCCTCCGCGGTCTTCTGCCAAGTTGACAATCATCTGCCACCTCAGGCTCAGGAAGTTCAAGCTGCCCATCTAGGGCAGCTCAGGACATTCTTATGCCGTGAAATTTCCTTTTCTGAAGGCACTGGAGCATCATGGGAAATCTGAAATGCCAAACAGCTGTTCACCTCTGGGCGTGGGATGGGATGTTCCCCACGCCCTGTGACACTCCTCTACCACCATGGAGCTTGGAGGAGCGACACAGGCTTGCCTTAGGAATGTGTCATGGCTTGCCAGGGTTCGGATTAATCCCTTGCCTCAGAAATTTGTCTATCATATATAATTTTATTTAGTTTAAAAGAGGAATTGCACTTTTGACTTTTCATCTCAAACGTGAACGTCTTGGACATCAAACTTCAACAGTTTTCAATATCTCTTTGTTATAAAGAGTAAATAAGCAAACTATATTTTAAAATCCAACTTTAGGAATAATGAAACAAACATAAATCAAAATACCATTTTCTTTCAATTGGCATATTTTTCTAAATGATAATTCCTCATGCTGGTGAGGTTATCAATGAGAATATACTTTGGGATAACTTTCTTGGTGGGCAATTTGAGACACATCAAAAGCCTCTAAAAAGCCCTCAGACTTCGTTTCTGACCCAGCAATTCCATTTCTAGTAGTTTATCCGCCCCCCCCCCAAATTTAAAATGCTATCAAACCATTGGTTCTAAGAATTTTTTTTTAAATTTGGCAATCTGAAAGTCCAAATTACCAATATGCTAGAAAACTATGCAACCCTTAAAAATGATGTCAATGAAATTTTGAGAATGCGGCCAGTAGGAGATTGTATTATAGCTGATAATTAATATGTACTCATTTTCTTCCTGAATTTTCTGAAATGATTGTGTTATGTGACGTGTTTAAAGATATTTGTAAGTAGTCTGAGAAAGAGCCACCCTGGAGATTGCTGCTGCTTTTGTTGTTGTCTCGGGTTCTCAACTTTCCAAACTGGGAGGCGGGGGTTCAGCAGCAGGGCAGGAAATTCCTCTTCTCCCCTCCCATCCACCTTGGAACCCAAGGCAACCACTTCAAAGACAGCCCTTCCCCCAGCAGCTCTGCAGGTTTCTGTGGGCTGGTACCCTTGTCCCCCTCATCCATCATCAAGAGAAATGCAGCAAGCCCGTGGTTGACCCGGTATTGACAAGACTCTCCCCAGCATTCCTTACCTGATGGGACATGCTCCTGCCCCTGTTTTCCAGCGACAGAGGCGACTTACCTCTCACTGAAACAAGCAGTCATTCTTTCCTTTCTATGTTTTTCTCTTGTGGAGGAACAACTCCTGCTGCTTTGTGGACTTTTTTCTTATCACGTTCTGCACAGCTTAAATGCCTCCTCCCCTGACACCGTGATGGGCACCTCCCATCCTTTGAGATGAGAGGAGTTTATTATCCCCATGAACAGTGTGCCATTTCCCTGCCCTGGCATTAGTTCTTCCTCTACCTGAAGCTCACTGGTGAGAACAGAGGCTGCAAGGCAGAAGGAAGGGGCCAAGGGCCTTGAGAGGCAAGCAGGGTCTGATGGGGTAGGAATAGGGCGGGGAGGGGATCCCTCCAGCAGGTGTATCTGGGGTTGAATTCAATCTTGGCCCCACCTCGGGCAACTGGTTCACTCTTTAGTCCTGTTTCATTCTATGTGGTCTGGAGCTCTGGGCAGGGGTGGCACCTGGCTCGGGGAGCTGCGGTGTGGGTTCCATGAGTTTACACACACCAAGTACTTAGAACCCTGGTTCACACCAGGGGTCAGAGATTATCACCATTACTTTTAAAAATTGGTAAAATACTCTTCACCTCTTGCCGTTAGCAGCAGTGATGCCTGGGCAGACACTACTGAGGACTGGTGCTGCTGAGGTTGAGACTAGGTGTTGGGCACAGAAACCCCTAGAATGTTTTCCCATGTGACATTATTAGAGAAACTCATCCTGACCATTCCCTCCATGGCAAATTTAAGGGTGGCCTGATTTTTTATCCCAAAGTGCTCTGTGCTCCTCTCTACTCACACCCTTCTCACCTGTTGTAACTGCTCGAGTGCAGTCAGCCTCTCCCACCTGGCAATGACCTCATCATCTCTACGTCCTCTGCCCTTACATCTTCAGATCTCCATCATTTCCCCTCCCCGAACTGTCTTCCACTTCCCCGTCTCAGGAATGGTGCTGCTGTTCACCTAGATGCTCAAACTGCCTTATTCCCCACGAGACCAACAACTTCTCACGTGGTCTTCAGGTGCGCGTTTTACCCCCAGAAATTCATTCTTCTTAAGAGACAGAGAGCTCCCCACCAACCAAAAATGCAGAGCTTACTAGGTCATACTATTACTTAAAACTGGTAAGGCACTTCCTACGGCCCTTAGGATGAAGTCAGACGTCCCAGCTTTGCTGGCTGGGGCCTCCTACAGTCTGGCCTCTGCCCACCTCCCTGGGCCCTTCCTGAGCCACTCTGCCTCAGCTCTGCCTGCAGCAGCCTTCGACTCCCTTCAGTTTCTCACACTGAATGTGCTTTTCTGCTGCCTTCCCACCCACACATACATCACATCCTGCCCCTCAGCCGCACTGTTCCAATCCTTCACATCTCAGCTCACGCGGCATGTCGTCCAAAAGGTGTTTCTGACTGCCCCCCAGTGTAACTTCCCTGATCGTAACCATCACTGCCCACTACTGTAACCGTCCACCTTCCTGGGTTATCAGAGATTCCACGCAGGACTCAGTCTTGCTCACTGCTGAATTCCACTAAATCCCGGCTTGAGCAGTGGTTGGTACACTGAGAGAACTAAAAAAAGAAAAGTGATAAATTTCCACTTATGCTTGTGGTCTCTTTTTTACACCACAGACCACCTCCGCGTCCTGTCTCCTCTCGCCAGGCCCCTCTCCCCCTAGAGCTAGTGCTCTGCCTTCATGAGCTCCTGCCCACATGGCTCTTTTTGATCTGGGGTTTCTGCAAACACCTTCTGGAAGGATCACATCTCTCACAACCACCTTCATAAGAACTTTTTATTATTATTATTTAGAAATGCAGTTATATACATAGAACAATTAAAATTAAATTAAACTTTGTACAAATATTAAAATACTATCTTCACACCCACCGCAATGTACAGGATACCAAAAAAATATATATATAAAATAAAATAAAGCAAACCCAAACTGAGTGACATCCTGCAGAGTCAATGATGCATATGTCATTTTCAACCATCGCAAAGGATTCCATAGTGGTGCGGTAAGAAGCCAGGGCAGGATGTGGTGCGCTACCACGCAACCCTTGTCCCTCTCTCCTCCCTGTTTGGCAATCTGAGTGCTTTGCCCCCTGCGCTCCCCCGACCCTGCCCCCCGCTGCTGAGCAGAGGGCTCAACCTTGGGGTTCAAAATTCTACTAGATTTTCAACTGTAGATTAAGAGGAGTTGCTTGCCAGGAAAGTTGAACCTGCCTTTCCCTCTCCAGGGAACCAGCTACTTTACCACTCAGTCCACATACCTGTGGAACAAAATCCTCTCTGAGCCCCTCACTGGACACCAGTAACGACAGGACCTATGCTGAGAGCCAGGAGCCCCAGCAGGCTCCATGAAAGATGCTCCCAGGCCCTGCCCTCAGCAAGCATATCTGGAATTAAGCTGTAAAGCCTGTGTCCCTTCTCTCTTGGGCCCTTTATTCTCAAGGAAGGGGGGAAAAAAAAACTGGGCAAGGACCTAGAAACGTTTGCAGCATATTCCACTCTCTATGTAAGGGTGTCCCTGGAAATGGAAGTGGCGCTGTGTGGGAAGCAGTGGTTTGGGAGCTCCGGGGAGATCGGGAGGAGAAAGGCCTAGGACAACGGCCTCCTGTGCCACCACTACCTTAGCAGGAAAAGTATACCCTTGTCTCGCCGTCCAGCTTCTCCACAGACTTTTACATCTGGGGGAGGGGAAAGGAGGACAGGATGAATGGGGATGACAACATTAGTTAAGTTCTGTCTGCAAATGGAGTGTTAGTAGGATGTACATGGAAATGCCTTATATAATCAAAAGAACTCACAAAGTGGCCAGGACTCGGCCCATTTCACGGTTCACACCCAGTGAAGTGGGAACATAGCACATAAAATTCAGAAATGGCAAAAGATAGAGCCTACCTGCTGAACTAAGGCATTGAAAGGGATGGAAATTTTAACTGATTTTCACCTGGCCCTTGAAAGTCATTGGAATGTGACTGCAAACTGCCAGGCTATAAAACCTGCATTGAGTCAGCTCATGTGTGCAAAGAAAAAAAAAACCCTTTTAAAAGTCCTTTGGTGCTGACTGTTCTCCTGGACAAGCTCTCTGCGGGACTCCGCTTGAGGTGAGCCCAGGAGGCCAGGCTGCGGGCGGGTTTTCCCACCTGCTCCAGCCCCTCTGGCGGCCTCCTTCCCAACTGGTGCCCCAACACCACCTTGTCTCTCAGCGGGGCCCACCCCAAGGCAGCTGTGGAGTTCCTAATCCTTTCCCAGCGACAAAGCCCAGACTGCAGGAAGAGCAGCACACGGCTGATGCCTACGGACCTGCTTTGGGGAAAAGAGAAGTAACTGCGGGAACCGTCACACTGCCAGCAGCAGCGTGAGGCTGCCGCTGCACCCACGGCCCAGGGCCTCCGGGAGGGCGGACTCATCGAAGCCAGGGACCGGGGGCGAGGGGCAAAGCGCCTCATTTCTCTCCTTTCTACCAGGCAGGCAGGTCTGGGCTTGTGATCCAGAAGGTGGGCAAGGTGGAAGGCGGCTTCAGAAGGCAGGCTTTCCATTTTTTCAAGGGCCATGCCAGTCACCTCTGTGGCTGAATAAACCCAGAACAAAAAGTGCAATCTCTTGGGAAAACCCAGAGTAATTATATTAAAAAGGGTAAGAGCTCCCATTTAAAAAAATATTCTAGACTAGAATTCCGCTTTTGGAAGATTGGGAAGTGACAGCTGCAGGCTCAGCAGTGAGATTTTGATGTGTCCCTCCCCCAGCCCCACCCCCAACCTGTCCCTCTTCTTGGAGACAGACAAGGGCACCCTGCGAGTGGAGCAGAGCCAGTGTGAGGTGAAGCAGCTGGGGTCATAGGGACATGCCCTCCAGACGGGCCCAGTGCTGGCGGCCGTATCTCCGGAGGCCAAGGACGGCCCCTGCTCCGTCCCGTCTCCTAGGAGACTTCTGCGTCCTTGTCCTAGCACCTTGGCCGACCTTTTCTGTACTGACGCACGCAGGCCAGGGCTCCCGGGTAGGGAGGAGAGAGCTGCCTGGCAGGCTCGGCCCTTACCTGAGAGGAAGGAAGACTAGAGAGGCGGCAAGAGGCCAGGGATGAGCGGGGAGTAAAGTGCGTGTGTAAGAGTGGAGGCAGGAGGCTAAGAGAAGGCCGCTCACCCCCTCGTCTCTGAGCCTGGAACTACCCTGTCAGGTCAGGAACTGAAAACATCCTGGGCTCTTAATTATTTTCACCGCCCCAAACAGAGGCTCGGGAGGTGCAGAGGTGCAGAGCTTCGAAAACAAAGACAAGCACTCCTGGATGCCACATTTTAGGGGAGGGGACAGCTCCGCTGAGCTCTGCCGCCCCAGCCCCGTCAGCACTGGACACGTGGCTGGAGGAGCATCTGGAGCGCAGAACCCACTAGGGCCTTCGACATCAGGGCCCCGGAGCCAGGCCGCTTCCAAACTGTCCCTACCAGCAAGGTGGGGGTGCGAGCAGACTGTCTCTCAGGCCAGGCAGGGGAGAGGAGGGGCGGGGGCAGGGCAGCAGAGGAGAAGCAGCAGCGCAGCGAGCAGAGCGGCGGCGGGAACTTCCGGGGCACAGGAACTAAGGCACGTGACTGCGGTGAGGAGGACCCTCAGGACCCAGGCTGGCGCTGCCGGCAGCTGCCTGGGCACTCGGTCGGTGCCTTTCAGGCTCCCTTCCAACACCACGAGCCCAGAACGGGGCAACTGGCCCCAACTGCCAGGGAGCAGGCAGGCATTCCCTGGCATCTCAGCAACTCTCTTATCCCAGAGGTGATTCGCCTCAGGCCCCTGGGCAGGAAGGAAGCTGGAGCTGCCCAGGATCAGACCCAGGAGGCAGCACACAACTTCCCCTTATGCTCCAGGGAAACAGAAAAAACCCAGGCCAGGGAGGCTGGATGCTAGAATAGGAAGTGAGAACTTGCATATTAGGAAGACAATCATTATTAGCCGCCTTCCTTCCCTCCCTCGGGATCTTCCAGTTGCTTCTCGGAAACTCAACAGGGCCAGGAGACGGCACTTCTGAGCCAGACAGTTGGGTGCTGGGATGGCTTTGGCATGATTTTCCATAGCCTCCATCCTCGGCCAAGGCAATGCACCACCGGTGTCGACAAGGGCAGGCCCAGGGGGCCACACTCTTGCCCCAGTTCGAGCCACTGCTCCTGCTAAGGACAGAGGTGTCAGCCCTCAAAGGAAACAGGCCAGACCCAGGCCCGGGCCCCTGGGTGGCAGGGGGCAGCAGTGCAGCCACAAAGGTTTATAGGACAGCAACAAGCCTGCCTGAAGGAAGCTGGACGCGGTGGGAGGAAGGCACAAGTAAACACAGCGGCTCTCAGGCCCACGTGGGCTGGTGGGGCTGCCACCACAGAGCTGGCTGGAGGGAACCCCGAGGGCTCAGGGGAAGGAAGGGTTCAATCCAGCACATTCAGATCTGTCCCCGACACAGACGAGAAGGCTGGGCCAGGCAAAAATCCAGCTCCTCCAGCTGTCCAGCAGGCAGACGGAGAGAATCTTCCTTGAGTTTCCAGCGAGGTGGGCCTGCAGGCCCTCAGAGATATGGAGATACACAGATACACAGGTGGCAGCCCAGGTGTCCAGGGAGGGCGGCTGGAGGACACGGTGCTCAAATCCACAGGGAGAGGGAAGAAGGGCAGAGAGGAGAGAAGCCAGTGGCAGCCCTCACGCTTCTTTCAGCAGTGGGATATCTGCAGGCAGAGAAGGAAGGGAAGTGTGGGTGTCTCTGCAGTACACTGGACCCCATCGCAGGGGGGCCCAGGTTTAAGGACATAAAATGCCCCACTCAGACACTTCTAGGTTGTCTGAATCCCTCACCTCTTTTCTAGGCCTTCCTGTCTCGGGTCTCCCTCTGCTCTGTGACAAAATCTGAATATTCGGTCTGGCATTCAAACCCCTCATGTTCCTACCACCTTGAACCCTCTTCTCTGTTCTAACTCTGCTGCTTTAGTTGCTTCTCTTTCTATCCTTAATCTCACCCAATGACGCTACTGAGCACTGGTAAGTCTCACCTCCTCCTTAAAGCCATCGTCCAGCTGACACTGAGTAAATCACTCCCCTCTCTGGGTCTGTCTTCTCACATGTCAAGCGGGTTAGACTGACACCTTAAGGTCCTGATTTCCTTTGGTCCCATCAGCCCAGACAGCTCAGGCCTGGCCTGTAATGACTGGTAACCTGCGTGTCTAGGGTTCTACACCCCTCATCCTGACATGGACCCTATCATTCAGAAGCCCCACCTTCCCAAATGACAATCCATGCAGGTAGAGAATGTGTTTCAAATTTCTTTCCATCAACCCTAAAACTTAATCCAGCCCCTGGCACAAGATGGGCTCTGGAAAATGCTTGTTCAATACATGGAACAAAGCAAGGGAGCAAAGAGGGGAAGGAAAAAGAGCAGGCACCATTCGGCTCCTAAGGAAGGACAAGGGCTGAGGTTTGTGTCAGTATGTGCAGACACAATATACAGCTGGCTGCCCACAGGTGCAATGGCTTCTACCTTTAAACCTGGGTCAGCTATTTAATAGCTGCTTCCTAGCTCTATATCCCACCAAGAAAAAAGGAGGCACGCTGCTGATAATCAGGGAAACCCTAAACCTGACCTGCATTTAAGACTTTCTAACTTCTCTGCTTTCAGATATTCTAAACCTTAAGACAGTAACTGTGTCCAGACTCCCAGGAAGCATAAAGTTTGCTCTAAGGCTCTTTTAGGAAGGTTGGTAAGTACAGAAGTCCTTACCTTCTGAAGGGAAACATCTAGGTTTAGTCTGCATTCCTGAACAACACTGGGATGTTATGTGAAGATATTTTCTAAAATGACAGAACCAATCCTAATGTTCAACTCTCCAGGCTCTGGTTAAGGCAGAGGTGTCAGGAGGTACTATTTCATTCTGTGGCTGATTTGCCATAAGGGCCTGGAGTCACCTGGGAGGCAGCATGGCACCATGGCGTGATAATGCAGGCTTGGAGCAGATCCATCCGGCTTCAAATCCCAGCTCAGCCACTTACCCATGGGCAAGTGACTTAGCCTCTCTGAGACTCAGCTTCCTCATCTGTAAAATGGGGCTACTACCCACTTCTCAGGATCACTGTGAGGTCTGACTGATGTAGTGCAAGAAGACCAACTAGCACAGGAGCTGGCACACTAGTATTTAAAATGAAGTGGCTGCATGCTCTAGAAGAGACAGGCTCCAGTTTTCTCTGTAATATGACCCCACACCTCCTTGTCATTCCAGTCTTTTCAGGAACATAAAAATTATAACAAGAGGACAGGCCCCACTCCCACCTCCAACCAGCTGTCTACCCTTTGATTTAGCATAGCCCCGAGGCCATGAATAGTTTCTTGGAGACTCCAAACCCATCAAAATTCACAGACAACAGTGAAAAGTCTCCATATACAGAGCCCAAAGTCCTACCTGGAGCTCTGAGGGTAAAATCCTATTTTGTAGGATAATCCCCCGGGTATTACCTTTCTTTGCCCCTGAATATACCAATTATTAGAGAGGCTCATAGTCCTTCCTCACTCCCCGCAAAGACCCCAAGCAGATAATAAACACAGGATCAGCACAGACCACCTACCATCCGTGTAGTCCTCCGACGTGAGGGATAAAAGGCTTTGAATGTCACTGTTCTCTGAATCAGGGGCTTCTTTGTGTGCCACTCGGCTGCTCCCTGAGCCGGCCACCCAGGAAGAGGTGGCTGCCTGATGCACCATCACAGTCTCTGAGCCCCGAGAGCCCCAGGCTTCACACAGTCCAGACTGGCCCGGGGCCTCCTCCTCTCCACCTGCAGTGGAGCATGCCCCCTGGTCCTGCAGCTGCTGCTCCCTTGGTCCGTTCCTCCCACTGGGCCCAGACCCTTCTGCCAGCACAATCTGTACTCGGGGGTCAGCGGGCGGCACGCAGTGACCGGAGCTGCCGTACACAGCCTCCTCGTACGATGGAAGTGCAACCTGGACTCCGTCCACCATGATGGAGACCTGGTCCCCAGAGACACCCTGGTCACGCCTGCATCCAGAGGTGGGAATGACAAAGGGAAATGACAAAGTGAGAATCAGAACAAACACACAAGTAAATATCACAGTACTAACAGCACCAACTATTTCTGAACACTCACTATGTGCCGGGCAGCACATGAAGTGCTTTACACAGTGTCGTCCCACTAAATCCTCACCTGAGTCCTTTCAGGCAGAGATTCACCCAGAATGCAGATCAGGCTCAGAGAAATAATAAACTAAGTTGCCCAGTCACAGAGCTGGTAAGGGAGAAAGGCAGGATGTGAATCCATTCCATTTGCTTCAGAGACGGTGTTCTTAACCCCTGGGTTCACAGGTACCCAGCCCTCTGGTCCTGTGCAAAACCTAGAAACCTCGAGATGGAGAAATGAAGCCGTTCATCCAGCACAGCGCCGACAGGAACGTGAGAGAATGATGGCTGCACACACCTGTGAATACACCGCTGCCTGCACACTTCAGGGCCTACCCTGCATGGTGTGTTAATTACAGCTCCATAAAGCTGTCTTTAAAAAAGGAAAAGGAAAAGGAAAAGCAGTACTGTGGTCTTGAAATGGACAGTGGACTCAAAAACTGAAGAATTTTGTTTTTTGGACTCAGCTACTTTGCTTGCCTTTTATTTATTTATTTTTAACTTTGTGAACTTAAAAAATTTATATATGATTATAACAAAAATATTAGAAAACACATAGAAGAATGTACAGCTGATTTACTCCAAAGATAACACTGGTGCATAATCCCTGCCTCAGTCAAGAAACAGAACACGGCCGGCACCCTCGACACCCTGGACTTCCTGTTTCCTCACCACCAAGAGTGACTGCTACCCCAGCTTTCATGAAAATCACTCCCCTGACTTTTATTTTAATAATTTTACTGCCTAAACATGAATCCCTCAACACCAGTTTAGTTTTGTATATTTCTGATCTTTATATGAATGGGATAGACAGTGTGTGTGTGTGTGTGTGTGTGTGTGTGTGTCCCCGCATATGTGTGTCTGGCTTCGCATTTTACTCAACATTATGTTTGTGGGATTTATTCATGCAAACACTTTTTCTGGATCACTTTTATACATGCACCTTTTTTTCTAAACCATTTTGAAAGTAAGTTTTTTCTTGCTAAAACGACAGTAGATATTAGTACACACCTCCCAAGAACCGCCTCTCCTATGTAACTACAACAGTATTCCATCCGGAAGTAACACTGGTGTAATACTGTAATACAAATGTTCCCAACTCCCTAAAATAAGTCTCCTTCAGCTGCTGTCTGGTTTGTCTTCACCCAGGACCCAGTTACGGATCATGCATTGCTTTTAGCTGTCCTGTCTCTTTCATCTCCTTTAATCTAGAACAGTCTACTGTTGTTTTCCTTCACGACACTGCATTTTAAATCAAGTCTGGAACAGCTGTCTCCTAGAATGTCCCTTGATCTGGGCCAGTGTAATTGTATCCCTGGGATTAGAGTCAGGTCAATCTGCCTAGATCCCTGCACACCACAGCATCGTCCGTGATGTAGTGTCCTCTTCTGTGCGCCAGACCAGGAGACACACTAGATCTATGGCTGGACCATATTATTATTGCTAGACTGTTTTATGTGCTGTAAGTTTCCTCATCTGTACTTGCACATAAAAATCTGTGCTACCTACTTCAAATGGCTTACAAACAGTGAGGATGACAGAAGTGGCACTCATAAAAGTGCTAGAGGTTTCTGGAAGGAAGGGAAACTTTGATGGCAGAGTGGCATCAAAAGCAGGGTGCATTTTGGCATGTGCTTGTGTTATTCAAAATAAATTTTTTTGTTAAAAATGTAATAATATACACGTACAAAATTTAAACAGGCTCTATGATGGAAACCAAATCTCCCTTCCACTCAAGTCAGGCAAAATCAGTTACCTTTAACACACTGACTAGTTCACTATAAGGAGAAAATACTCCTTAACCTGGACGAAGTGATGAGTAGATTAGCTTGACATGATGGGGAAATAGCCAATTCTTTCAAATAAACAGTCCCTTCCAAATCCTCTTCATTCTACTAATTGTTTGATGACTTTTAAAAATAGCTGCTAAATAAAACAAAATAAAAAGAAGAAAACCACACATGCAGTGCACAGAGATGCAGCTCAGCCTGGCCCCCTGTCTGTGCATTTCAAGCCAGGAGCATTTTGCTTAAAGCAGTTTAGTCTGTTCCTCTGTGCCTGTGAGTGAGGACAGTGACTGAGGAGGGGCCGTGAGTGAATGTGAACTGTCCTCAGAGGGAACCAGGAGGTGCCAGGGCAACCCTAGCAAGTGCGGAGGCCACGTCAGCCTGGGGTCCCTGAGGGACCCACTCAGGGCCAGCTCCCCACCACTGGCCACCCCCATCCCCAACCTCACCTACCCAAACTGGGATGCTTTGTGGCTAATGCACAGCCCTGGAAAAGGGAAAATGACAAAGGCAGGGAAGAAAACCACATCCTCAGTTTCTGGTATGGTAGGCACAGTGCAGTGGCTGCTAATACTAGCTGCACAATATTAGAACCATCTGGGGAACTTTCTAAAAAACACTAATGCCAGGCTCCCACTCCAAATCAAATAAATCATAACGTCTTGGGATGGAGGCCCAGGTGTTAATGTTTGTTTTAACTCCCGGCAGGTGCCTCATGTGCATCCAGGAGTGGGGACCAGGGAGACAGGGCAGCGGCCTGCAAACACCAGCCTGCATCAGAATCACCTGGAGGGCTTGTGAAACCATGGTGCTAGGCCTTAGCCCCAGAGTTTCTCATTCTGTCAGTCTGAGGTGGGGCCTGAAAATCTGAATTCCTAACAAGTTACCAGGTGATGCTGATACTGCTGGAACCACACTGTGAGAACCACTGAGGGAGGGGAAGTAACATGGCTCCAGAGTTGGACAGATGGGGGTTTAAATCTCAGCTCTGTCAATATCTAGAGGCATGACCTTGAGTGAATGACTGGACCTCCCTGAGCCTCCCTTTCCTAATCTGCAATGATCCTGTGAGGATTAAGATAATGTATGCACAGCAAAAGCACAGTGCCAGGCACATGCAGAAGTTTAACACGTGGCAGGGCCCTCCCTCTTCCTGAGCCACGCAGACCAGCAGGGGCTGGCAGGCCCACCCTCTGCCAGTCAGAGGCCAGCCCCTTGCAGCGGCACCTGCCGCCCACCACCGCCGGGCTCACCTGCTGTGATGGAAAGACTTCAGCTTTGGCTGCAGCAGCACAAACAGCACCACGAGGAGGAGAATGAGTGCCACGGAGCTGGCAGTGGAAGCCACGATGGACAGCGTGGGGACCCCGAGTGAAGTGTGGGCATCTTTGTCTATGGAAACAAACCATCATCAGAAGTGTTTTGTGCCAAACACGTGGACTGTGAACCTCACACCTGACCTTGCCAAGGGCCCCTACAGGGTGTCATGCAGGGACATGCCACGTACATGCCACGTTTGCCACGTTTTCCACGTCATGGTGCAGAGCGGCTTTTACATTGTTTCTGAATCTAAAATTCCCTTCACTTTGGACCTTGAGGACCATCTAACACCTAAATGCACTTACCCCTAGACAGCTTACCTTTATAAACTCCTTCTGATCCTGTTCTCAGTAGCAGGTTGGAGGACATCAACCCTTTAAGTGCACATACCACTCCACCATCTGAAGTCCCGCCCAAGCTTTTCCCCATGTGGTAGGAAAACTGGTAAGAACTAGGCGGTAATAACCCCCTGTTCTAAGATCCTGTAGCTTTCAGTGCAAATCTCAGGCCAGTCCCCACGCTTCTCTGGGGTGTCACAGTTTTAAAGCTCAAGTGAAAAGCACAAGGATGGCTTTGTGACACACACTTTCCTATAGGCAGCTGGGTTTCCTGTCACGCATGACAGGATGGGGGAGAGGTCTTCTGTCCAGCTGGACTGTAGCTCCACAACAAAACAGTCCATTCCCATTCAAGGAAAAAGAATATAAAAGAGACCCTACAGAAGGTGCTTGCTTTGTGCTCAAGAGCTGGCAGAACAGGGTCAAAGGTCACCAGCACTTGTTTAGGCAAACAAGAGATCTGGAGCATCAAAGGGACCTTACACAGCACAGCAGATGCCTCAGTGGCTCAGCTGAAACGCAGCGGGACACGCACCAGCAACCCAAATGTCTTTCACTAAGATGTGAAATCCCAAAGGAAGGGAGGCTGCAGGGCATCCGAGGGGCTACAATGCCCCACAGCACAGGTGTTCCAGGGGGAGCGGGTGCCACTTCCGGGAGTTAAAAGAAAGCAGAAGCCCAGCAGCATCCCCTTCTCATCTGCCACACTGACCCTCGTTGAGACGACAGCTGATGTCCATGGCTGGTTTCCACTCGCCATTCTTACACGTCAGGTATTTGTAATCACCCTTCAACATGTAGCCTTCAGCACACAGGTACTCGATGACGCTGCCGGAGTACAGGGGGTCTCTGCAGGGCCGGGGGTGGCAGACGTAGCCACCATTCTCTGGCTCCGGGGGCAGGGAACACACTGCAAAGACAGAGGGAGAGCAGTGGTACCATGGTGAGGCTTTCCAGCAGGAGTCCTGTCAGTGACAGAGAAGGGCATTTCTGAAGGCTTCAGCAGGAAACACGAGGAGCAAAGAGCCAGCCCTTGGGAAAGGCTGCTGGCCAAAGTCTAGAAATTCAGGTTGCCAATGACGGAGGGAGGCGCCCTGGCAACAGGGCAAGCTTGGCTGCCTGCGACACTTCCCCTTGCCCTCCCCAGCGCGCCTTAAGGGAGCTGCGTCCATCGCTGAATGGTGGACCCTGGCAGAGCCAACCTTACGGGGATCTAGCACGTAATACGGTTTTAATAAACCCCTCTGAATACACAATGAATCAGAGCGAAAGGTAGTAAAACACTGATAACCTGCGCAGGGGAAATGTTAGCCTTGTTTCCAATATCAATGCCAGAAAGGACTCCTTCATATAATAAAAATGTACCTTGTTGGCCTTTCCTGGGAGGCTTCCTTGGCCCCCCGGCACCACCCATTTCCTGCCTAGAGTGGTCAGCGGCACCCTTCCTCTCTAACCCACAGTAAATCCTACACTTTTCATTCAGGTAGGATTGTGAAGTTTTTTTTTTAACTGAAGTATAGTTGATTTACAATGCTGTGTTAGTTTCAGGTATACAGTGTAGTGATTCAATTATACGTATACATTTTTTCATTATAGCTTATTACAAGCTATTGAATATAGCTCCCTGTGCTATACAGTAGGTCCTTGTTGTGTATCTGTTACATACACAGTAGTCTGTATCTGCCGGACTGTTTAGTTTTAAAAGCACCTTCACCTCCTATCTTATTTATTTGTTCTGACAACCCTATGAGGTAGTTATTCTGACTCCCCTTTGAAGATGAGGTCACTGGTCCACAAAAGTTAAAGATGTTTAGCCAAGTGTAAAGCAGAGTCAAGAGCAGACCTGGAAGCAAAGCCAGGTCTTTTGATTCTGAAACCTGTGCTCTTCCCACCACCACACCCTGCTTCCACACCAGGAGGGAGCAGGCCTTTAAGGAGTGTGCATGTCAAGGCTACCGCCCCTTCACGCAGGTCAGCCAGGGAGACCGTAAGCAGCACCCAAGCGGGAACTCTGGTGTAGATAAGCTGCAGTAATTGATCAGAAGGCTGGAAGGCCTGCGCAGCCCAGGGAGATGGGCGGCCTCTGACTCCAAGGTCTCCCCTTCTGAGCCTGGACAGACACCGCAGAACTGAGTCTCCAGGCAGTGGATTGTGGAGTGTGCCTAGCAAAACAGGAGGGGACAGTGAGGACACTAAGGGATTGTTTGGAAGGCTGGGCTGGGGGAGAAGACATGCTGGCAGGCGGCTAGGCACCCACAGCCTCCAACTTCCCAAAAGCCTTGCTAATGCAAGAGAGATGAAAGCCTCCAAAGGAATTGGATTTTGCTGACAAGTACCCTGTCTCCTCGCTGACGATCACAGGGACATGAGCATGAGAATGAGAACTGTTGGGTTTCTTTTTTTCACCTCCTCTAACAGACTAAGAGTGTCTGAGATAAGGTGCTTTCCCTTCACAGGACGCCGAATACCACTTCCCTTCAACCTACAAACTGAAGCAAGCTGACTGCCAGCCAGGCTGCAGGGTGGATACCAAGTTGAAAAAGAGACAATGGGTCCCCGTCCTCAGGTTGCTTATCACTGAGATCAGGAGGAAAGATTCCATTTTTAAAGAGCTATTAAAAAACTGTATCCAGAGAAGTCTGGGCAGCTTCTCTGAAATAAGCAGATGAGCCAAACTAGCCTCCTCCGTCCCCTCTAGCGACACACGTTCTCCAGACTTCTCCCAAGCCACCCACCTTGCCCGAAGTCTTGAACAGGAGGGAGATACAAGCATCACACCCCTTCTGGTGCCTCTTTAAACTCTGGCCAAGTAGTTCAAAGAGCTGGCCAGCTGGATTTCCAATGAAACCTCAGCACACTGCTTTACCCTTCACATCTTCCCTCTTTTGTTCAGGGTGACAAGCCTGCCATAGATCCCCCTGGCTCTCCTTGGACTGTGTCTGATTGGTTCATTTTCTTGGCATAATGAATACTGAGCAACTGTGGCAGCTCCTGAAAGCAGGCAGGACCCACTCACTCGGGTCCAGTCTGCTGGAAAACAGTCCCAAGGGAAGGGCTGCTGATTCTAAAGCCACTCCTGCTCTGCTGAGTACTTCTGCTCATAAAGCCCACATCTACACAGAATTTCCGAGCGGGGTCCCTGAACATCATCTGGCACTCATTTTGTAAGTGCAAAGAGTGAAGTCCACAAGAAGTGACTTACAATTCAATTTCATCTCAACTAATACTTACTGATCACTGTGTAGGGGACATTGCGCTATGCTCTGAAAAAGGATAAAAAGATAAGCACTTCAGGTACCTGTAGCCACAGATTTAATCTAATACATGTCAACGAATGGGATTAGTGCCACAGAGAGGGAGCTCAGAGCAGGAGAGATCAACCTCGTTGGGGGGAGGCTAGGAAAGGCTCCCAGAGGAAGCAGCATTTCCAGCGGGGCTTGATGAAAGGTGGTGGTGGTTTGAAGCTAATGCACCAAAGTAGGAGAGGACAGGTTAGGTCCAAAGAACATCAAGTAGCCCAGCTTAAACTTGGATGCATAAGATAATTCGGCTAATAATAATACTAATAATAAAGTATGTCAACAGTAGAGGAACCCTAGCAGGGTGAAATAAACTGGACAAAAGTTCTTTCGTCTATGAGGATCATACAAAGGAAATAAACTAGAGAACCTCAAGTTCAGCAGCACAAAGGGACTGCCCTATATCCAAGGAAGAAGTAAGGAGGCCTTAGAAGGAAAAGTCAAAAAAAGGCAAGGTCATTTTAAGACACCAAGAACATAAGGAAAAAATATGGCCCTTTCACCCAATCAAAGAGCAGAGTGGGAGAGCCTTGGCAAAGGGCAGTTGTTTGAGAGGACCCTATCAGTGACGCCTGGGGTTAACAGGAAAGGGAAGAACATGAGGAAGAGAAAATAAATCATTCAGTGGCTTCCGGAAGCCACTGTTCTGGGCAGGAGGCTGACTTAATCTGCACATCGGCTGCATGCTCTGACAACCCCAGGTCCGCAGAGGGAGTCTCAAGCTCTGTTCTGAGCCCCAAGAAGACGATGAACTCATCTGATTTGGCAAAGCTGCATAATTCTAAAAAGAGAAGGAGAAAGCCAGAAGACGGAAATTTTACAGAAAAAAATCAATTAAGTCTCCTTCCTTAGCTTCATTCTCTGCTTTCCATCATCTCTTAAGCCACTTAGGCCTCCAGTAAGCACAGGAAGCAGCAAGGTAATTCTTTAGGGGGCCAGCAGGGTGCCTGGCACACAGCAGTCACCAAGTGAGACCGACCAGCTGGGATGGTGCAGGTAGAGAAGCAGTGATCTGGCTCATACTTCTTCCTCAGAGTTCCTGCCCTAAAACCGTTAGCAGAAGCCAACAGGAACCCTCCATCCACCCTTCTAAAGTGTGTTTTGCTTTTCTCATTCTGGGGACTAGACTTTTAGGAGGAAGGCGCAAATTAAAGAAAACAAACTTTCACAAGATTCCATAACAAGCAAATCACAACAAGCTCCAGGAAAGGCCCAGGGGTCAAAGTGTTCAGTTTAACAGACTGAACAAATACTTGAGCCCCTTAAAAACAAGGTGTAGGGAGCAGGGAGCGTAGAGATCAGCAGAAGGGGAAGCAGACATGCAAATCCCTAGTGTATTTTAAAAGACTCAGCAAGAAAGGTTTCTGTCTGCTGTCAGTTATCAAGAAAACACTTGTCCCAAACACAGTGACCGAGGGTTTAAGAAATCTGTGCCAGTGTTCACTCACAGATTTGAAATGATGTCGTTTTACACTAAACCAGGGCAGTAGCATTTAGAACACAACTGGGCACAGAGAAATCGGTGCTTAATGAAGGTGCTGAAAGAAAGAATGGTCAGAGAAAAGCTTTCCCGGGAATTCAATGGAAAAGGAAGTGGTTCCCCCCAAACCCACCACACCAAAACAGAAGCTGTAATCACCAGGGACGCAAGTGAGGCAGTATCATACATGTCCCTATGTGGTTGTAACTCCAGCAAACAATTAGAATGTGCCTCTCCACACAAGATGCTCTAGGGGGGCCAGAAAAGTACACATGACAGGACCATGCCCTCAAAAGCGCTTACAATCTAGACAGACACGCACACGGCCAACTCCAATGTAAATGAAAAAAGGAAGTGTTCAAAAGTGAGCTCTTATTAGCCTGGGGTGTCCTTCTAGGCAGGGACATGTTTCCTACTCATCCGAGAACTGCTGGCAACCAGAGGAAGCTGAGAGCCCAGGCAAAGAGAAACAGGATCAAAAGAATACAAAGGGGAGGAAGGAATGGATGGAAAGCACATATCCAGCACAACACGGTCCAACAGAAACATAATGTGGCCACGTTTTCTGTAGCCACGTTAAAAAAGTAAAACCAGGCAAATTAATTTTAATGATGTATTTTATTCAACCAATGTATGCAAAACACATTTTGATACCTCAACATGTAATCAATATAAAGATTTATTAATGAGATACTTTCTATTCTTTTCTGCATAGTAAGTCTACACTTCCAGCACATCTCAGGTCAGACTATCCGCATTTCAAGTTTTCAGTAGTCACCTGGGGCGAGTGACCATCGTACTGGGCAGCAAAGACGCTTGGTAGAGAAAAGTCTGTGTCTGAGAGTCAGAGGAGGAGTCTGAGAACACTGAAAAGGGCTCAGAACTGCATGACTGGGCGTGACAGCAGATGTGGAAAGAAGACACCATGAGCACTGGGGGGTGGCGGGGAGGGGGGGTCCCTGCAGGCAGTTTTTAAAGCACTGTTTGTGTTCTGGTTCTTAAAAGCCTTTCTTGATATATGAAGGTCCAATTTCTAGTTCTAGCCCTCAATGGTTTGTTAAGGAGCAGAGAGAGCCAGCGAAAAAGCAAAGTGAAAACAGAAGGAAAAAAAAAAGGCATTCGAATTTGCAG